CCTCCTCCCCCCAAATAAACTCAACTTTATTTTAGGCCAGGAAACATACTGTAAATCCTCCTATATGTACTGAAATTACTTGAAGCACTTGTACCATAGCATTTCCCAAATCTTCTAATCACAGCATTAGTATATATTCATGCACAAAAACAAATCAACATAAAATTATTCAAATCACTTTTGTTTTGGTATCAAAATATTGAACACAAAGTTTTGTATAGATTTGTGTTTTATATGTATCTTTGGCAATAAAATGTGGTCAATGGTTTAACAGTGCCTGAGTGTTATTGCTCAAACTCCGATTTATACAAAAATGTGCAGTTAAAATTGGAAGACTTATTTTGTTACTATAACCAGCAATTTTTTGTTTCTTTCCCCCAATATAAGGGCTAGAAACTAATTTTGAATACTACTAGTCTATTGTGGTTTCCAATGTTTATTAGTCCATGTGTAATTTTCACTAACCCAATATTATTCAACAAGATAAGCAATATCAAATGTTGACTAGTCATGATCAGTTGGGCTAGCGATTTTAGGACTAGTCCAGCTGGGGATTTCACTAGTCTCGGACTATCGGGCTACTCTTATTGCCTGGCCCTCGTCATAATCTCATACCAATTAAATCAACAGTCTTCACTGTCTTCAGTTCAAAATTAGTTACATAGTAGTTAAAACATATAAACTATTAACACAAAGAAAAGCCCCACCCCTCTCCCCGGTGGAACAGAAACAAAATAATGTAAAGTCTTTACTGTAAATTGTTATGGACCAGTCTAAAATAGTCTGTGGGGGTGGAAGGGTACACCGAATGCCAGAAGTATAATTATTCACCGTTAAAAAGGTCATGTTCAAAAGCTGCTTGCTTTCTGTATGTATATAATGCCTAACACTATTAAACAGAGGTAGAAGTCCGACATAGCAAGCATTCTGAACACAACCTTGTGTCGCAAGGTCACTCAAAAATAACTACACAAAATTATAACTCCATCCTTACTTATGATGCTTCCACCCTAAATAGTCACTTGATGCCATTTGAAATTCGAATTGCATTTACTAAGGTCATTTAAATCCTAAGGTCAAGGTAAAAGACATATATATAATGTTTTATTTACTAATTACATGTACAAAAATTGTTCAAAAAATTTATGAACACAATACAATAGGAGTTAAAACCTAAAGGGCTACATACCGGTATGTAGGTTGTCAATATTGTTTAAAATATCATAATTTGCCAGAATAAGTTTTTGGTGAAATATCTAGTGAACCCTAGTTTATTTGGACTGATAAACCAGTTTAAATACTAACTTTCCTGATAGTAATACTCAGATAGTAATTTTGTTCAGTAACACATCCAATTTCATTAATCCAGAAACATTGTTATTTATATTTTTTTTTTTTGAAATTAGAAACAAAAGTCATATGTAGAGGGATTCATATCATAAGATAAAACTAGAATTATTTATAAAGTTGAAATATTTCTTATAACAATGGTGATAAAAAATAAATAATGACTAAGCTAATCGGTGTTTGAAGTAGAATCTTAGGGTTACATTCCAAGTACATGACCGTGACATGTTGCCTTGACCTTTGTGAGCTTGAGTGGAAACACCATAAGGGAAAGATGATCATTTTTATACAAACCTAGATTATAATTCTCAATATAATAAGTCATTCAAATGAACACAAAATGTCAATGTTTAAAAATAATCACTTTGGCATAATGCTATACGAAAAGAAAATTTGCAAAAACAGAAACAACATGGTGGTAGGTAGAAAAGCGGTCCCTGCCAGTTATTCAGTAACATCCTATAAAAAAGTCCTATTGAGCACTTGTCCGGTGACCGCAGGAACGCTTCACTGCCTAGCAACCAACACATTGATTATCCAATCAGAAGATGGATACCTACACACATCCATACAAAGTTGATGTTCAACTTGCCATCAATATGATTTGATCGTTTGTCATTGACAGTCCATTTTGATATCTTACTCTCAGGTGTGGTCATGAAGAAGTGTGAATGAAAAGACATAGATGTGAAAGGGGGAAAAAAAAAAAAAAACGGTATGATTGTCAATTCAAATGATGGCAGATTCAACATCAAATTTATCGCAATTGAACATTGTACAACGATCAGTCACAAAGTTGGCCATTACAATGATTGTAGATGAGGTTCGAGGGAGAAAAAATAGCTCACGTTACACACAACGAAACAAGTAAACAAAGGTTTCTGCCATTTATAGTACGATTCAACAACCACAATAGGTAAAGGAAGATGGGAGGCCAACACAGTGACTGGTCCTCAAACAATACTGACCACTCGTAAACATACTTAAACCATGTGGTTATAACCGACACTGTTGATTAATGCTGCGATATATATTGCAAAGTACAATTTTTTTTATCTCATATACAAATACATATATTTATATATATTTATATATATAAATTTGAAAAAGAAATCAGCACATTTGTTCCATCACATTGTTCTCTTTAAATTCACACACACATAAATATTAGCACTTGTGTTTCCGTTCATACTCAATCTTTCTCTCACAGTCTGTCCACAGCTCTACACAAGCCCCACTCTCACACATTTGGCTAGCAGTCTGAGTTCCCCACCGGTGAGGGTGGCGGGGGATAGGGATTAAAGTAACTTCTCTCTGTCGATGGTGAGGGGGGACAACTCATCATATCGTCCGAGAAATAATGGCTACGAGGTGTAGGAGGTGGGGGATATGGGTCATAGTCGTTGTAAAGATCTATTGACCGACTAAGTTTGTAGTATCTTTTTGGGGGGTAAGGCTCGCTCTCCTCACAAACGTCAGTACTACATGGGGTGGTGGGCGGCGGGGGAATTTGCCGCGGTAGTTTGTAGGGTTTATACGACCGCACCGTAGACGGACTATTAGAGGAGTAGCCATTGAACTCCCCAAAACACACGGAGCGGTCCGTCACTGGACTAGGTGGGGGATTCAGCGTCTCTTTGGGGTAGTGAGTCACTGTAGAACTACTGGACGAAGCTCCTGTTACATGATTTCTGTCATACTGAGCGGTACTACCAGACACAGACGAAGGCAAAGCACCATTCTTATTACTCCTCTTAGGCAGTGTATTGGGGGGAGTCTGGTCAGCTTGTACATTAAGAGGTTTGGTGAGCATGATCATGTCTCTATCATAATAATTATTCATCCCTTGTGATTTTCTGCGGCATGCAAAAACAACTCCAACTATCAGCACAAGAGAGAATATGCCAACAATAATAATCACTGTAATGTGAGCATCCGGCGGAGTGGCAGGCTTGTTGGTGGCCGTACGTTCACAAGGCTCCATCTGTGAATTGTGTAAACACTCAGGATCGTCAACCATAGCATCACCTTGACAACTCGGGTCTTCCGGATCACAACAATTTTCCTCATCCAGGCCGTCCTCACACTGCTTCTCTCCATCACAAACCATGTTGTTGTCAATACACTTGCCATCACCGCACTTAATCTGTGACGCGTCACACACAGGACAGTCTTCTTCATCCGAGCCATCACCACACTCCCCCTGACCATCACAGCGCCACACACGAGGAATACAGTTAATGTCGCCACTTTTGCATGTAAACTGCTCCGGCGAACATGTAGGTGGGTCAGCACATGTGTGGCCGTCTGCCTTCAGCACCAAGTCAATGGGACATGAACATCGCGCGGTGCCGTCTCCCTGGGCAACACATATGTGAGAACACTTGTGATTGCTTACAGCACACGGATGCTGATCTAAATCCACAAGTTGTAGGTACTGGGCCACAGCAAGGTCACTGAGACTTTCCAAACGACCTTGGATATAAGTACGATTTTTCCCGTCTAACTTGTTAGCACGGATAATGGCACGTTGATCTTTGTCAATCCAATATAGGAAATTTCCAAAAACGGCCATGCCTTTGAGATTTTGAATCTTTTCGTCAACTAACACATTCCTATCGCCTCCATCTAGGTCCGAGCTTTCAATCCTGTTGAGACTCGAATCCGCCCAGTACAGGCGGCCTCCTTCAACATCGATAGCAAGCGGACCTGGTTTTCCTAGGTTAGTGTGGAACAGAGAAACACGTTCAGTGCCATCCAAAGCCGAGCGCTCTATAGAAGGCTGTCCAACTAGATTTGTCCAGTACATGTACCTACAAAGAATTAGAAAATCTCAATCAACTACTCTTTAGGTTTTCCTTTTCACAAGTGTAAATTCTACCGATCTACAAACATAGGTAGAGATGAGCCTAGTTCATTAACTACCCCTTATTCTGACTGTTTGGCTATCCAGCCTTGTTAATATTGTATACCGGGAAATTTTCACCCAGACAAATTTTCGCCGTTTATTAGTAGAATAAATGTTCGTGCAGTGTTAGTTTCACCTTTGACATGTTATTACTATGTATAGTAGGTTGTGTAATTATTTTCAACATACTGGTCAATTCACCCTCATTGCAAAGGGCCAAACAGGTGAAAGTTAAATTGCGTCGAAACAAATTCCGGTATTACAGTAAAAGCTCAAAGTTTGTTTGCCCATATCTCTGTAAGTTATACTTTTTTTATATGCTGGTTTTATATCAAAGAGTAAGAAACCGTTAAAACTAATAAATCACCCTTTATTCTGGTTGTCCAATGGCGAATGTGGATTTTACAAGTGAAGGGTATTTTTCCAGTATGCAGTATTCGAAATTGCCCAAATAATTTGTCACGCAATCCTGCATCTTCAGGTTTGGATGCTGGACAAACATGGCTACACTTTGTTAATTTTGGAACTATATTAAAACCTGCCAATGTGACCACCTCCATTAAGAAACCACTTTTAATATTCTCAATTGTAGCATTGTAAATTGAATCTGGATTAAGAGAACACCTGCGTTAAGAGACAATCTCTTGGGACTACCCACTAGTGGTCACTAACCCTTTCACCACTGTAGATCATAATGGACCTATCCAGATCAATGCATGGTAGAGTCTATTAAAGTTACACAGGGGTGGAAGGGCTAAATACAGGTTTGACTTCAATTCATTTTGATGATCCCAATTTATCTTAATTCATAACGAAAATATTGCATTTTAATAAATTCTCGGCTTGATCACCAATTATTGTCACACTTACTGTTCTTATTTGGGTCTTAGCTTTGTGAAAGGGTCTCCCAATACCATTAATGTAAGACCTCTTTTTTCACTTAACTATCAGTCGTTTTAATAAAATAAAGAATCTTTAACAGTTTCCAAATGATGAATCCATTTAAAATTGACGACAAAACTAGCTAATGATTTAAATTTTCTTCTTAAAAATTCATAAAGCCATACAAACCCTTTTTGTGGATTGAGCACAATGTAGCGTGGCTTGATGTTATGTTTTTCATCACTAGCGATCACCACTCCAATGGATGACCCATCAAAACGGGTAACATTGATCTTATTGTTGATGGAACACGTCCAAAATATGGACTGCGAGTACGGGTCTATAGCAATGTCAAATGGACGATACATTGCCTGCTGATTGGACACCACCACAATAGCCTGAAAGTAGAGGTGGACATGAAAGAAGAGGTGGACATGAATATTTATTGTCCAGGGAATTCAACTTTGACTTACAAATAATAGTCTGAAATTTTACTTTACATAAATACTATCTCCATCTGATGTTAATATATGTTACATTCAACCCAGGGATTTGAACATTAACAAAAGAACAATAGTCTGAAAAGTTCACCATGACCAAATGTTTACCTTTTTTGAAGTGAACATGGATGTAGGTAACAACTGTAGAATGTTTACAATTACCATGACAACCAGTTTATCTACAGAGCTATGTGTGGGTATGTAGAATAGGTAGATCTAAGCTATTTCAATGTAGTTGGGAATAAAACAAACATCCAACTTATATCACATAGAACTGAACTGTCATAGAAACAAATACAATTTCAAGATAAACATGGTATTCGTTTGTTTGACTGTATGTACAAGTCTTCTGAACTATACCTGGTTATATATCTATCAGTATTTCCGCCATTACCTGTGTGCCATTGTCTTTTGCCTTTTTGATTGACCATTGTCGACCCTCAATCCAGTATATGTAGCGGTCAGTGGGGTCATATGCCAAGCCACGGACATTCTTCAGACCAGGAATGGGCAGGACGACATCTGGCGAGTCAGGGTCAAGGTCACTGTCACTAATCACCAGGCGACTTATCACATTCTTTTGGCTGAACAACAGGAATGACTCAGGAGCTGAAAAAACATGGCAGTGAAATATAACTGGAATTACCCATATTACAACACTATATGGAACTTTACATTGACAGTCAAGTATTACACCCAGAAAGACCCAGCACCAAGAAATGTTCTACTATTTTTCAATAACAGTCAAGAATAACACCAAGAAAAGAACCAGCACAAAGAATTTTTCTACCTTAATCTTATTTACGAAAACATTGTATATCTTACTGTAAACTGTGGAAACTTCCGAAACATGATCGTTTTTTTTTTTACCTTAATTTTACAGCAGCAGGTTCCTACATGAATTAGGTAAATATAGAAAAAAAAATATGAAAATTGGAAGCATATTCCTCCTTTTCCTTTCATCTTTGGAAAATAAGCTCTCTTTTGCTAGTGGAACGAGTCTGTTATTGGCTATTAAAGCAATTTACACAGAAACGGGATGTGTATGTACATACCAACACATGTCTTTTGATCGGTGTTCAGTTGAAAATGAGTTGGACAGGCACACTGATGGGTTATCTCCCCTGCCTCAGTTCCGGGCCTCACCAGACACAGGTGGGAACATCCGCCATTATTCTCCTTACAATTGTTGGTTCCTGGAAGCGAAAGATAGCTGTGTTTATTACAAATCTTGAAATGATAAATATATTTATCATCTATATACTACTTTACACCACCCACCGGTAGCATGATAAATTCATTATTATTGGTTGTCAGTATGAGAAGAAGTTGAGAACGACTTGAGAACAACTTGAGAACAACTCGAGAAGAATTTGAGAACGGATTTTCCCATTCCCCAGGACTTGGGAAGTATTTCTCAAAAACAACGTCTGTAGTATATAGTATATAGATGATAAATAGTTTATCATACAGTGTTTTTATTATTTGTCGTTCAAACAATTTTCTCATCGCTCACACATAGATAAAATCTCGAGTCCACCGCAAAAACAGATGTAAATAAAGGTTAAAACAACCGCTAGATAATACTGGTGTCAACACATAGGTAAATAAAGGTTAAAACAACCGCTAGATAATACTGGTGTCAACACTTGACTAAATAAAGGTTCAAGTAGTAGTATATAGATGATAAATAGTTTATTACACTGTATTTTCAGGGTTTCATCGCTCGCACATATATAAAATCTGAAGTCCACCTGCGGTGGCCTCTCAATTTTATCCACGTGCTCGCAATGAGAAAATTGTTCTCACAGCAAACCCTGAAAATACAGTGTGATAATCTATAATTCCAACAAACCCAAGAAGACATGAGAAATAGGTTAACTATATAGGAATTATTTGTTATCAAGATGTTTTCCATGATACACCAATTTCCACTACTTTTAAAGTACTGGCATAATTTCCAACACTTTTGATGGCCTGTATGATTTAAACCGTGGTTTAAAATAGAATGGTCAAAATCTGAAGACACCATTCAAAGAAACAAAGGTACAAAATATTTAGTGATATACAGGTTGAAAGCATTAGTTTGTTTCAAGGAAAAGGTAAGCATAAAATACTGAAAGAAATTGCATTATGGCCTGCATGTAATACCTAACTGTCGGGAGGCATGAAAAACGAGCAGATCAACAACGTTTTCCATGTTGTAGTGTATCGTGGTGCGGTTGGTTCCAGATGACTTATTGGCCCTCTCTATGGTCTTCTCCTGGAAGTCGGCCCAGAACACAAAGTCCAGGTACAGGGTCAGGCCCATGGGCTGGGGAACATGATCCTTCACAATAGTCACTTGGTTTGTGCCTGAAATATGTCGAATCCATACATTTACAACTTAATCCCAACAGGAGTGATAGCATTATTTTTTTCATGTCATGAATATAGTGAATAAACCTGTTATATAAATCCTGAGCAATATTTGAAACTATGTTCCATTAAATGTGTACAGTAATCAGTAATCTGCTTTGCAGAAATCACCAGTAGAATATGCTTCAATCTACTTCTGTTAACATGAGAATTTATGTGGTGAGTGATTTTTGTATTTTCTGGTGTTCAGGTTCTACTTCTAATGCTTACCATCCATGTCTGAAGACTCAATGGACCGTGAATCGAGGTCAGCCCAGAACAAGCGCTTGTCTGCGTAGTCGATGGTGAGGCCGTTGACCTTGCCGAAGTTACTGTTAAGGGTGGTTCTCTGTGATCCATCCAGTGCTGCCCTCTCCAGTCTGTGAGGCTCCACCCAGTCAGTCCAGTATATCATACTGAAGGTAGTACACAGGTAATTAAACCTCATGTTACAAGTCATCAACTTCATATCAGATCAGAATTACAGGTCATTCATTTTTTGTATCTTAGTTACGGTAAAGGTAAGCAACTTTATGTTGAATTTACAGCTATTCAATTGTCTGAGTTACACATAATCAACTAATGTCAGTGACAGGTAAACAACTTTATGTCAGAGCTACAGGTAATTAATTTCATGTACGAGTTACAGGTTACCAACTTTATGTTGAATTTACAGCTATTCAATTGTCTGAGTTACACATAATCAATTAATGTCAGATACAGGCATAAAACAACTTTATGTCAGAGCTACAGGTAATTAACTTCATGTTGGAGTTACAGGTTAACAACTTTATGTTGAATTTACAGCTATTCAATTATCTGAGTTACAGATAATCAACTAATGTCAGATACAGGTATAAAACAACTTTATGTCAGAGCTACAGGTAATTTATGTTGGAGTTACAGGTTAACAACTTTATGTTGAATTTACAGCTATTCAATTATCTGAGTTACACATCATCAACTAATGTCAGATACAGGTAAACAACTTTATGTCAGAGCTACAGGTATTTAACTTCATGTTGGAATTACAGGTTAACAACTTTATATCAGAGCTACAGGTAATTAACTTCATTTTGGAGTTACAGGTAAGCATCTTCTTGTCATTGGAGTTATAGGTAATTGACTTCATGTCTTATCAATGGTCTGCAAATCTCTAAAGGTTCTATCAATCAATCTCAAACAATGACATCTTCTATTCAAACAGCATATTCCAAATGTTTAGGAGATATTATGTTTTTTATTTATTAATAAAGATTCACATACCTGCTCCTATCCTACAGAAACACTAAAACTTACCCATTGGCAGGATCTACAGCGAGAGCATGTGGTTGGTGGATCTCTCTCCAGATAAGAACCCTACGTGCTGACCCATCCGTGCGAGCGACTTCTATCCGCCGGGTGCCAGAGTCCACCCAGTAGATGTTATGAGCGACCCAGTCCACAGACATGCCCTCCGGATACATTAACCCATACTCAACGATGGTCTCCAACGCACTACCGTTCAGAAAGGCTCGGCTTATAGTCTGTAACACAAAGATCCTTGTCAGTTAGGCCCTACATCTTAATAGAGCAAATCATGCTTATAAGAAACCTCAAGGGACATAAGAATCACTGTGGTAAAGGCAAAACCATTATATACTCTAATGTCCTACAGATACGTATCGCCAAACACAAATGTAACATCATTATAACCAATAAGTGATGTTCAAAGTAAACTAATTTCTCTGTATTATCAATTTACCTGTCTATATCCTTACATGGTCAATTACGAATCCTAATGGACAATATTAAAAGATACCTATAAATTAACGAATTTTTCAATTGTTTTTTTTTCATTTTTCAAAAAATAAAAATTGCATTTCCATACAAAAGTTCAGCTCCTGAAATCCCATTTCATTATCAATTATCTTTATTTCGCCTGAATGACTTGCAGCATAATGTTCTTCATAAAAGTCCTTAATATTTATGATTTTTTACACAGCAGCAGTTTTGATTACTGACCTTTAGTTTGGCATCTGTCCAGTATATTCTGCTGTCATTGAAGTCAAAGTCAATAGCGAGTGCATCTTTTACACCTCGAATCGGGACGGGCATGATCCTGTGGCTGGTCTCCAGTGACATCCGTCTAATATCGCGCCGGCGTGTGAAAAGAAGGAATGCCTCAGGCACGATGCATGTCTTACCATTGCTAACAAGTTCTAGCCCCATTGGACAGGCACATACTGGACCTTGGTCAGCTGTCATCAAACACAAATGACTACATCCTCCATTGTTGTCAGCACAGGGATTTGTACCTGAAGAGATGGAAATTTAGGTGTAATATTTCTATTTTCTGCCTTCAGTGTATTAGATGGATTAGTACCTGTAAATATTTCTCTTTATTTTGTCAAATGATTTTATTTTTGATGATATATGTTGAGAAATGCAAAAGGAACAGAGAAAACTGTGTGAATACATCTTTGTCCATGCTGTTTGTCTTGGACATATAGATAAAGGAAAGTTGACAATTATTGTTTTATCAAAGAGGTTCTTGCCGTACTGTACTCCGTCATTTATACAAACTCAAAAGTTCAATATCGAAACTTGACAAAATCATTAGAAAAGTTCCATCATGCAAGCATATGTTCCAACATGCAAGAGTAAGAGAGTCTGCAGCCTTCACTTTACCTGAAACAGTTGCAGAAGACTTCCTTCATGTCGGCTTTCGTAAAATCTCAATGAACGAAAAATATGCACTGCAGTTGTGATCCAGAATTAACGAAATCTTTACATTATACTTCATTGATTTTAATTCTATAACATATATTAGTAAGATTAATGATGAGTTTTCATTTAAATATTCAATCGTAGTACCATACTTGACCTATTAAGTGCTCCATTAACTTAAGTCTGGATACCCCCATGCCCCCAAATCATTAAAAGTGTGTTATTTTTATTTTTTCAACATTTTGGAAGGTCCTTCAATCTTTAAAATTTTCCCAAATTGCTTAAGCACCTGGGGCACTTTTTAGGTCAAACAAGGTAGTATGTATGACACTACTACAGCAATATTAAGCCCATGTCAGGTAATAAGCCCTTCCATGTCAAACACAGTAAAGTAAAATTTAGGACCAATGCTATTGAACTGTCCAGCAATTAGCCCACCCTGCATTTTGAGTTAATGTTTTGGCTACATGGGCTTATTGAAAGATAAATACACTATCATTCAAATACGAACAAATATCTATTGATCACCTACGGATCTAAAACTGCTTAATGTTAATTTAGCAAGCTAAATCTAACAATGAAAATGCATCTTTGCCTACTAGATATTAGCTATTACACTATGAACAAAAGTTTTAATCCGAATAGAACCTTAACTCATTAATCCCTTTAGTTTCATAATGAACTATTCCAATCTTTGAATTGGAAGGGTTCAAATGTGTCGTCAGGGGTGATTGAGTTAATGCACCTCGATTATATTTACAACTGTTAAGTACACAGAACCAGACAGATACCTAATGACAAGCAATCTTTACGAGTAGCATGGCTTTCCCATGGTTTCCAGTTCCATGTCCTGTACATAGGAGTGTGACCCCACATGACCTCAGTCAGACGGGTGCACAATAGCCGACATGATTGTAGAGGGTGACATTAATTTGAGTTGTACAAGTCTGTGACATTACGTTAATTGTTTTACCCAATGTGAAGTGTCTGTCAGCGTGATTAGTGATGAAGGCCTGTTACAGGAGCCGTCTGACTCAGCTCACAGGCTACGCTACACACACCTATTTCCACATTGTACTGGTATATGTAAGTCATACAAAGATTGATGTACTACGCATATTCGGTGACAAAACCTACTTTCATTTTGTCCTGAAGAGCTATATAGCATGCATATCCTGATACATACATGTATATACAGTGAAAATCTTTCAAATTTCAATTGAAATAATACTATATTTCTCAATTTATGTATAAACAGTCTGTTGTAAAGCACTAATATATATGCATAAGAAACTTGTCTATTTTATTGTGCCATATGTACAAGTCAATGACAAATGGATATATTACACAAATCTGAAGATAAATTTATAATGTTCATGCTGTCCAGTTGTGCGACATTTTACCGAATACCTCAATAAATCTGTATAAGAAACTCACTTAACTATTGTCCTATGCAAGTCATTTACAACACAATAACACAATCACCACCTTCCTCTTAGATAATTAATTGATAATCTGTACTGTAGGTTACTCACCAGCTTGCACACTTTTAAAGAATGATATACATATCTAGAAAACTATCTTATCTACTGTTAAATCAGATATTTTTGTGGGGCCCAAATATCGTGGTTTCGAGACAAAAAAACGTTTTTTTGGATGAGGATTACCCGAAATTATAAACCCCACGAAAATGAGAGAGTTCACAGTACTTTATTTATCTGTAACTTCAAGTTCCCCATCAAAAAATGTTTCTCCAAAATTTATTTATTTTTAATACGTATACACTATTATCATCACCGATAAATGCTTTGCTTTCATGCAAGATAATACTGTCATTGTCCAGTACTCAAACCATCTGTCAAACTATTGTCAAAGTAAATATCTTTTCTACAAATAGTCTATAATAACAGATGTAAGCTTGACATTTGACAAAATAAGTAAAGTTATCTTTAACTCATTCACCCCTGAAGTCACATTTGAACTCTTCCAAGCCAAAGTTTGGAATAGTTCATTATAAAACTTCAGGGGTGAATGAGTTAAAATCCTAATTGTTTTAATTTGATATCAAACCATTGTCTTCTATATGTCATAGTTTAAACAGAACTTTTTCAGAGTTATGCAGATCTATTTACACTTTTCAATTTGACCGATATCAACATCACCAGGCATAGTATCTGATAAGTTTAAATTTTACTAGTTTAAGTGTTATGAGTCTTGCTTCAGAATATATTAGCTGCCTTGTAGGACATTGCCACAAACTGCTATATATCTACGTTAAATTTTGGCCTGTAAAAAAGAATCTGGTGTTTACGATTTGTCCTGTGGCCCTGCCTTCCCATTAGCAGGGCGTGTAAGCAAGCCATGTTAGGGTGCCCACCGGCTCTATAATTAAGAGGTCATGGTTGACTGGCCACCCTACATACATCACACATGCAATGGGGCATGACCCCCCTTGCCCAGCAACTACACACTGGCCTCTCTGTCCTCAAAAGACGACATCTGACCTCGATCTTGCGGTGATCACTGAAGCGTGATTTGTCAGTCACACACTTACAGAACTCTACACTGCAAGATTTTCTCATTCATTCACAAGCCGGTTTTTTTAATGTCCGATCAGGTTCAACTCTGGCATATAACACCAAACAAAGTATAGAGGATTTCAAGAAATTCGCTAACAAGATGCACTTTCTTCTTTCGAAAAGCTACACTACGCTTAACAATGCGTTTTAAAAAAACGAAAAATGTGTTAGTGGTTTCTACATATTCAATTTAAATCCAATATTAACACAAAATTCATCTAGTGAAAGGATCAAATATAATCAATACCTTTGACAGTTTTTAGCAGTTAAGTAGTTTTCTATTTATGTTTCTGACCATTATATATTTCCTAAGCTAAGTTGAACAGTTTTCTTCTTATATTTTAAAGACCAGTACCTTTGTGAAAATATCACATCAAATTAAGAAAAATAGTTTCATAGAAAACATCAATCACAGTAATATTACCCTTTGAGTGCTCAATAAGTATGTGTAACAGAGGTCATTATTTATCAATGCCTTCGCTAGGAGTCAAACCCAGGACCTCTGGCTTACTAGTCTTGCGCTCTACTGAGTGAGCTAAAGAGAAATTCTCCCTAGCCGAGACGGTAGGAAGCGGCTAGTATTTTACCAGGGTGAGATATGTATAATATGTAAACAAAACGGAAACCTTCCTTATTTTTTCAATAATAGATTTTTCCTTAAATTGTAAAGTCAAAGATTTGTTGACCAATCAAATTGAAACTTTAAGGTGACATTTAGAGAATACAACTTAAAATAACAAGGTTAAAATATCTCATGCTTTAGATAAAACGTGTTCCCACTAATACACAATGTTAAGTATTACCACATGGTTAACAAATAACACTAAACTACACAACAGTATCAAAGATGAAACATTCCGATTGCTTACCTTCTATTTTTTGAACGTTAATTGCCTTCAATCCCATGATATCTGGTAGCTGGTCAACTATCACCTCTCGATCTTGTCCTGTTTTCTTATTTACGCGTTCTATAGATCTCCGTTGCCAATCTGTCCAATATATGTATTCACCTGCAAAACAATGCAACCCGTTCTTCTTAAACATATTTATCTTCTCTTTCAAACTTTCAAAATAAACATTTGAATAATGGAAAGTTTATGTGAAAACATTATTCTTTCTCGTCTTGGAAACTCAAGCTATTTTTTTTCTAAAATTTGACGAAAACATAAAGACTGACCTAGCAGGCTAAAGCCAAAGATATGAGGTAGTTGCTGGGAGACGAGAACGCGTCTTCCCGTGCCGTCGAGATTGGCCAACTCTATCTTGTCCTCCTTTGCATCCCCCCAGTACATCTTCTTCTCTTGGTAGTCGATCGAGATCCCGTTGGGCCAGCCAAGGGATGTGTTGATCAAAAGAACACGACCACTCCCATCCAAATTTGCACGCTCTATTTTAGGAACATTTCCCCAGTCCGTCCAATACATATGTCTGTCAATGAGAAATATTTTATTAAATTAGACGGGAGGACACAAAAGTTTGTAAACATAAACCCTACATTACCAGTGGTAACACATTGGTTTCAAGCCAATCCTTTGGCCAGATTTCACAAATGAGAAGCATACCTGAAAATTAAACATTTCTGCACACAGAATGAACAAATCAGTACCAATTTTATCTTCTTTCCGTGGACTAGCACTCCCTCCCTCCCCCAAGAGTTTTCACAGGTACCTGCATTTATCCTGCTATAAGCCTAGGTAATCAACATTTAATCTCTTGATTTAAAAGTACAGTCATTGGCTTATCACGGGACAATTAAAAAGCATTTCTGGCATTTCTACTGAACTGCAACATAGATGGGTGGGCTTATTACCAGGCTCGGGCTTATTGCCGGATAAATATGGTTATGCACAGTACACAAGTAAAAGCATCATAGTTTTACCAAACTGGTTGTGAGACATACTATCGTTTGAATTTTAACTGTTACACCATTGAAGTTTAATTGATTAAGGAGTGCCATACATTAAGACACAGTTTTCTTGCGAATTCTTACTTATAAGAAAGTCATATTTGTCTCCTTAGCAGGCATTTGTCTTACAAACATTTATTCTCACAGTCTCAGTGAGCTTTTTTTATTGTTTTAAACTAGACTTTGAAAACCCCCATGATTATCAGCTTATTCAATTATCAGAAAGTAACATTCTTTGAAGACAGATGTCGAGGAAACATTTTCCTACCCTGTGATGGGATCCAGACATATTGCCCGGGGTTCGTCCAAGTCCTCCGAGATTAGAACCCTGCGAGAGGTGCCATTGAGTCGAGTCACCTCTATCCGGTCTGTTCCTGTGTCTGTCCAGTAGAGGTTCCTAGCTATCCAATCAATGGCCACACCATCCGGATGGTTCACCTCTGTACTGACTATTGTCTCCTGGTCTGTCAATACAAGAGGTAAATCCATAAGTACATTTCCCCATGACCTTATGGCATTTCAGGTTTGGTTTGTTTGTGTTTTACATCCTATTAACAGCTATGGTCATTTAAGGACGTGCCAGGTTTTGGTGGTGGAGGAAAGCCAGAATTTCCAGAGAAAAACCACCGCCAGTACCTGGCGACATTTCAGTCTTTTTAACACTATACAATAAGTATGAATTTAATACGACTGGCCATACTTCTTCAAAGTTTTCATTAAAAGAATATTTACATGCACATTTTGAAGCAATTTCATAATAAGTTATGTATTAAATTTGAATTGTATAAAATTTGAATGCAAAAAAAGTGTTTTGTTTCCGACTTGATTGAAAGTACAACTGTAAGTAAATCATTCTCCAAGATATGACAATTAACTTTGACACAACCTTACCCTATTTTATCTTGGTAAATAACTGTGGAGTTGAGGTTTACACCTCATTACCTAACATGGATATCTTTCTAAAACTATTTTGGAAAGGACACAATATTAAAGAGGATATAATTTCATCGTTCTTCAGAATGATTTACATCTAAAATGATATCATTAAGGTTTTTTTGTGAATCTTGTACCTAGCAAGCTTGCTGCTATGAAAATACTGCACAATATCAATGTCATTTTCAGACTTTTTAGTTTGGTTCTATTTTGTTTAACGTCCGATTATAACAGCAAAGGTCATTTAAGGACGTCATTTTCAGACATTCCCAACAAAAAAAATTGCAGTATTTGAAAAATTTAAGAGTTTAACTTATACAGGTCACAACATGTATTAAAGTGATGTTTCAGGTAACATTATGAACATGTTGGTTTACATCATAAAAACATTATATACCTTACACAGCTTTCTTGCTCATCTGCATTATTCTTGCCTTTTTTTTAAGACATTAGCAATGAACCTATTTTAACCATCCAGGAATGATCATCGTGTAACATTCATCATACCTGTTCCATCCAGGGATGACCTTCGGATGGCCTTGACCTCATCGTCAGTCCAGTATACATGGCTGTCCAATGGGTCATAGTCAATAGCAATGGCATGTCGTATGTTTCCAAGTGGAAGCACCACGTCTGTATAATCTGGAGTATCTAAAGATATCTCACGGAGGTCCGTCCGTCGTGCTAGTAATATCACCTGTTGGGCACCTGCAAAAACGAGGACACAGGTAACAAAGGGACATAACTATTTGTGTAAGTTGCATCATAAGTTTGACTTTTCTCCCATCTACCAATCTTTTGACATCAAATTAAGTATCAATATTAACGTAAATCTTATATAAAATTAGCATTAACCCTTTCACCACTGTATATCACAATGGACTTATCCAGATCATGGTCGAGTTTACTTAAGTTACATAGGGGTGAAAGGGTTAAGGATTGTAAATATTAAAAAAAAATACACTTTCTTATCCGATAACAAAAGGATCAGTCCATTGACTTGAAAGCTACATAATCTATATGGCATCAACTGAAAAGTTTGCCATCTACATGTATGTACCATCGGAAACATTCCAAAACCTACTTATTCTATTTTTTTATTTTTTTATTTCATCTGGCATTTCGAAAAAGAAAATGAAAATCTTTTTCAAACTGCCATAAAGATAGTGGCAATATACATACCATTAGCACAAGTTTTGTTGTCATCCTTGAGCTGGACGCCAGTGGGACACCCACAGGTGTAGTACGGAGGATGAGGGGAGATGAGACACAGATGGGAACAGCCTCCATTGTTATTTGAGCACTGAAGTTCACGTGTACCTGCAAAAGGGAATGAAAATGGCATGTACTGATTTAACTCCTAATAACAAATTGGATAAAGAAAATACATTAAACTTATACCTACAGAAAATTGTAACATTTTGTTAATTGTGTGTTAACTCATTAATACCTTCATATTCAAACTGGACTTATATAATTAGCCAGTCTTTGATTTGGTTATAATTAGGATCACATGTGACTTTAGGGGTAAATGGGTTTATTAGATAGCTAATGGCCTGGGTTTGTCAAGATCTCTTCATGATCCGTTATTGGTTTAGAGGTTAACTGCTTCAAGAATTGCAATTACAGGTCGAGGATCATTTTCAAGGATGAAACGGTAAATTGCTATAGACCAAGCACCATCTTTTTACAATCACAACCTTTACCTTTATTCTAACGAAATCGACTGCTGTATTTTGTATATACAAAGAAAATCAGCACAATCTGACATCGTATGAAACACTACAAAATTATAACATGACCTTCAACTTCAACTTTTTGCATACATGTAGTTTAACCCTGTATAAATTAGAAACAATTGTATAACACAACTTCACCTACTTGTATATACCAGTACTGTAAGGTATATATTTGAAGTTAACAGTATATAGTGCAGAAACTTGTCTTTATTGCACTAGTGTACAGTTCAGCATATTTCCCCGTGTGATGGCAGCAGACCCTTTATTTCCTGCCAATGTCTTTCCCAAGATATCGTGTACAAATGTAGTCGCTTGTGCTGTGTCTCCGTGACCAGATTGATTATCATTGAAATTTGCAGCAAAATAAGTGAATTCCAGAAAATCCATTATCTCGTACACTTAAATCAACTAGTTAGAGACAGATCGATGCCGAGGATCTCTATCAGCGCAAATTTATCTAAATTCCATTTCTTCCATCTATTTACAGGGGCCTTTCAACGGGGAAAATTACATCTAAAATATGTATTTTGGAAATATGCTATGCTTTAATGGGTAACAAATTAAATATAAAATTGAAAGTACATGTTAAAAGAAGATAGAATTAGTGAAATATTTCATCATGTACCTAATGTCATGCAACTTCAATAGTATTATTTTCTTCGATTACAGAAAGAAAGAAATAAGTTGGAATGCATTTTGTCCCAAATATGGCATAGGAAGATCACATACTGTACCTAAACACATGTATATGGGTTTGATTTCATTCTGAAAGTGTTATTTTCCAATTTACCAGGGGAAAAAATAGAATTTGTTCTGGGATAAAAAAAAAAATAGGGATAAAAAATTAGGGATTTCAATATGTTATAAATTACTTTCCTAAAAATTCTAAAAATATTTGCTGTAGTTAAATTTTTTCTTATATTGTGACCACAAAAATAACACTGCCTCTGGTATCTATAAAAACACTTTCTTTTCAGAAGCTTTTTTTCTCAAATATATATGGATTTACAAATATTAACTGGTATTTACATGTCTGACTACTTATACTCAGTACTTCAATGCGAGATACTGATGCATCTAGTCCACTTGAGACTTAACACTTATAACTTGTTATTTACATTGAAATAAAAGGAAGGCCAAAAATACCTGAAAATATGGAACAATTAGCAAGAAAAAGAAATTAACAGAAAAATTTTAGATAGTGCAATTATGTCTTCTGATCGACACAAGTAGACCATATAGCTCTAATCTGATTTTCCAATAAAAATTTGGTCATTTTTACATAATTTCTCATACACCCAAACACAAACTTCAGTCGAGCGGCTTATCATGAAAATTACACGAATCAGCTGCTTTTATTAACCATTAACTTTCGAAAATTCTTCTTGCCAAGAGCCCTCCCATCTTGTGCTAGCTATAGTACAATGTAGATGAAATTTGCTATAGACACTACACATTACATCATCATCAGCTTTTACTCCTATCAGATCGACATGCATACAAACTAACCCCGTAATTGTGTTACAACCTATCTCCTTCTGTCGCCTCTGGTTCATTTACAAAATGTACGTTTCAACTTCAAATCTAGAAGGTTTTCCCTTGAGAAAATCTTCTAAAGCTTGTATTCTAATTTTTTTTATCTTTCAAAAATATTTCTTTCAGAAAAATTATCCCTTTTATATATGTACATGTACATGATGCCATGAATTTAAATATGTATTTTGAATTAGTCACTGTTTATCAAATGAATATGCATGTACACCATTGTATGCAATACTGACTCACAACAAATCTAATGACAATCTTTTTAATACCTGCATTTGCAGGACAAATGTCTGAAAGGAAACAAGACATTAAAAAGTTATTATCTAAATGTTAAACCACAAAAAGTCTCACAAGACAGCACATTTATACTTGATATATTATAAGATACTAAATGTGAATTTTCAGAATTTCCATCTTGTATTACGCAAACACAAGAGATAATTTGTTCAGTGCCCATTTTAATCATTTTGTCAGGTCTGTATGTGCATATACACTTTACCCAAGCTTTCAATACTTATTTCAAACGAGAAAGTGGTTGCATGTACTGCAGTTATTTACTGGTGGCAAGTGGTTATATACACTGTATAACAGTTATATTTACTGTGTAGAGGTCATATTTACTGTCCAGGGATTATAATTATACTGTGTAGCGGTTTTGTTTCATGAAGGTTGTATATATATATATTTTTGCTATATTCATGGTCTGGTCATATTGACTATACAGGGATTAATGTAATTACTGTGTATAGCGGTTTTGTTTCCTATGGTTAAATTTTTCCTATTCTAATGGTCTGAAAAAAATAATCCACTTAAAACCTGTGTTTTTTTGCGCATTTAAGAAAAAAAAAAGAAAAAAAATCATAGGCAATAAGTGGGAAGTCCAAAATAAAATCGCTACAAATGTGGTCCAGGTGAAACACCACAAAAATGCGAAAATCATTTTAAGTTATCAAAATACTGTAATATTGTAAAACACAACAAAAATTATTCCACCCTCACACAAAGTATTGGCATGGCAACACTGGACTGTGAAACTAAAATTGAAAGCTCCTGTTTTCCTACCTTAGCTAATTATATTAGCCTATATTGCTCGTACACGTGAATATTTACACCTGCTGTTTATGTGTGTGCCGCCAAAGGCTTTAAGACCACCATAAAAAACTTTATTGGTTTCGTAAAACATAAACAGATAAACAGTAAAATATGCACATAAAATTTACATTCAATTTTATTGAAATTTTAAGGCAGTTTTCCCTACTTTGTTTTAAGATTAATTCAAACATTTTAAAGAGTTTCAGGAAATATGACTTCCTTTGCAATGCCAAACTTATAGTATAAAGATGCATACATACTACATCAGTAAAATGTGAATCTAACAAATTTCATTTCCAAAGGAAATCTTTCACACATTTTACAGAAAATGTCTATTTAATTTTTGTGCCATAAAAAAAACAACATGAACATGAAATAATAGACCAGAAAATAATAAATCATTACTTGGCATAATACATTCTTCTTGAAACTGTCTGTGTTTAATAGCAGATAATAATCGGAACTTCAACCATACTGAACGTTGTCTGGGATTGCTAACATTTTCCAACTTGAGCAATGTAATGTTACAAAGACCTCCTTAAATTTCAAGTCCCTGTTACCATGACAACACTGCACATCCTGTCAAAATTGTACGACTGATAAAAACTTGGCGGTAATTGGTTTCCCAATCTACTTGAAACAAAAACTGGCCCAGAAAATATTTAAAAAGCAACAAGAAGTAGGTGTATTGGAATATCACTACGTTTGCACAATTATGAAATGAAATTTAAAACCAATTCAATGTACATGCAGAACTTGCGGGGAGATGGCATATAAGACAGAAGAGTTCCGACTGGTATACATGACGGGCGCTTGGGAGACATGTACAGCTTACAACCTAATTAACCATTTTAACACCTCTCAGCAGTAACACTTCCACTTCACTCAATTAAAATAGTTTTTATCAGCTTCAGAATCAAAATACACACCAACATAGAGAAAACATACAACTGCAGAAAACCTGGGAAACTTTTCCAAAACTGTCTACAATTTTTATCTTCCATCTCATACAAAACTAACACAAATCATTACTTGAAAGTGAAATTTAACTTTTTTATCGAAAGCAAAAATTTAATTTATTGGTGCCAATCAGTTTATGAATGTTTCTTATTTAACTGAAGGCAATTCCTTCTTGAATTTTTTTTTCCCACTGGAAAGCATTGCTGGAATGAAGGAAGATTTCCTAAACTTAGTATGTTTCCTCAATTCATGTAGCGGAGACTTCTTCAGAAAGGAATTCCTTACCAGTGACATTGACTACAGGGCTCGTTCATAAACTTCCAACCTGCCGTCAAAAAACTATTGGAAAGCTGTTGCCTCATAATTGTAATTGCTCAATTTGTGTCCCGTGAGCTCCATTCAGCATGTCTAAACTTTCACATGACATTTTATACATGTACAATCAAACTTATCTAAACAATAACAGGACCAAGCTTCTCTGTTCAGAGAAGATAGGATTTTGAATTACACTATATTCTATTGACATAAAAATATTTATAACATGTTTAGGGTTTTTTAGTGAATACTTCTGTTATATTTTTTATGTATGAACTGAAGTCATACATGACCTATTGTGATATCATCAAATGACAATGATAAGAATATACATCCTTGACACAGCAGAATTTAGATGTGAAGAAATACCCGGAAATGTTTTTCCTGGTATTTGAAAAACTTTCTTGATCATTTGATGAAAAGGATTGTAAATGCAATTCTATTTTGCGTAAGACATTTTTTAAACTAATGAAAAATTGTTCAATCTTGACTTCCCAAATTGCCATGATGCTTCATAAAATGAAATATAATCAAGACTTGTAAACAAATCTCCTATGAATTGAAATATAGTCTTTATATGTGTATAGTACTTGCACATCCACAAAAGCTACTTGGACCCAAAATGAGGCAAGTCTTTTCCATGTATTTCTTACGTGCCCGATATAAAAGTTCTCTTTAATTGTTTAACTTATATTTTTCTACCAAATGTTTCCGAAAGTTTCAAACAAACTGTTCACCAGCCAATAGAAAAACATCTTGTTACCGACATTTAAAAAAAAGTTGGATAGTAACTGGGGATCCCCCCACAGATTGCAGTGACAGCATGGTAAAGGGCACATTAGGACAGTCAACATCTCACCGTCACATGAGAACACTGAATCACTGTACACCAAACAGGTGCTTGGTTTTAGCCTGCTGGATGACTTAATGTTGTCAACGAGTGGGTGGTAACTAGACCTAGAGTACAAAAGCAAAATTTAAATCCCCCCACAGAGATATGTTAGATTGAAACAGAAATGTAAGCTAAATGCTAACTTAAATACCCTCCATCATCTTAATGTGTGTGCCCTCCCCGAAAAAATCCTGTAAACGGTATGCTTGATAATCGGAGCAAACTACATACCGATACATGGTACAAAAAGGGCAATAACTCTATTCAAAAACAAGTTTTTTTGTAAATAAAATGGAAAGTGAAGGGTTAGTTGTCAACAAAGGGTTTGTCTACAGATGGACAAACAGACAAACTCATTCCAACATTTCCATAGCTTTGGTTGCTGGAGGTATAACTTTTAACACAACCCATCTGGTTCCTTTCCATATAAGAAATAAGAAGTGCAAAAACCAATTCTAAGAGACAATGTATTCAGCATTGTTGAGCTCAGCCTCAAGAGCACCTCTCTGGAAACATTTTTGTCAGCTAAGTACACAAAACCTTCTTCTCACGAGATCAAGTTGTATCACAAGATTGAACATAATAAGGAGACATATCTACAATGAACACCCAAATTTCCTACCTTTACATGTACAGACATTCACATTTTCACTTACCCTCAATCTGTTATATACACATATTCATTTCACAAATAAATCTTATTCTTGATTTAGGTAGAAACAGAATTACACAGTATATTTAATTTTTAAAATGGCTCCAAAATTTCCTTTAAAGGGCATTTCAAAATCCTTATTTGACGCCTTTTGAAATATGCTGTTCCTTTTCTGTAAAACAAGAAAAGAATGTGTGGCTATCGAAAACAATAGTTTGGAAATTTACCTGCAGGTTGTCTTCTAGCACTGTAAACATGTATATCCATCGGAGAGTAAACCTCGTGTAATATTTCCTTGCGATTATCACCCGTTAATTTGTCACAAGAATGTATCGACCGTGTTTCCCAGTCTGTCCAGTATAGGGTTGGACCCAGTAAAGTTAACGCAAAGGGATGAGGTAGCTCATCCTTAATCACCACTCTTCGATTTTGACCATCAAAATCACAACTATGTATAAAACTGAGCTTGGCATCCGCCCAGTATATTTTTGACTCGTCATAATCTAGTGTCAGCCCATTGGGCCAGAAAACGTCGTCTTTTATTATCACAGATCTGCTTGATTGGTTGCCATCCATACTCGCTCTCTCTATCTTTGGCGTCTCGCCCCAGTCTGTCCAGTACATGTATCTGTAAAGTGAAAGTAGAACAAATCGTAATCAAGTGCATATTGTTCTCAAGCACATGTACCTGCAAAGTGAAATTTATTCATTACAGTTTGTCTAATTAGAAAATATCATATGAAACTCACATAAGACATATATCATAAAGTAATTTTTGGATAAACTTCTTATTCAACTTATATTCCCAACAACCGACATTTCCAAAATAAACTGCCGACTGTGCATGCTTTGATCTTACGCTTCCTCAGATGAGACGTACCCATTCCCAATATCAGAAGGAGACTTAAGTCTCCAGATGACAATGAGCATAAGTTTCCTGTTATATTATAGGAAGTTCATATTAAACTCAGCTTGTGACAGACTCTGATGTTGTGTAATATTTGATCACAGGTCTTACCCGAGGTCTAGAGGCACACAGATACAGGAACTACCAAAATTGCAGTCTGAGAATAGCGACCCAAAACATTCAAATTAAGAAACAGCTACCCAAATCCCAGCACATATGATCATGCATGCGGATGGTATCGCAAATTGCAGATCAACTGAGAAAAATTACCAAATCCTAATCTATCTGAGAAAGATTACCCAAGTTGCTAGCCAAAGTGAAGAAGTTATCACAAATTGCAAGCCAATTGAGGAAAGTTATCCAAATCACAATCTAACAGGGAAAGATTACGCAAATTGCAGACAAATAAGTACTGCAACCCTAGTTAAAGACCAACTAAGAGGACACATCAGTAATGTTGAAATATGTTGTTGTGTACAATATAATACAAGTCCTTGCAAGTTTGGGGTTATTAAATGCATTTAATTCATTAAAAAAAATCTATTTAAAAATGAATATCACTTTTTTTTTAAATTATTTCATTGAGATTCAAGTTATAGTTAAACATCTTAGAATGAAATGTATCTAAATATTACAATTTTAGTGATAAATACTTCAAACAGAAATTCCTTTTGTATGATTTTGTCACTGGACTATGCAAAAAGGATATTACCAAAATAGAAATAGTTTTTAAAGAAAGAAAATGAAATAGATTTCACAAACCTATTATAAGCAATAGAATAAATGTTTGAAAAAGACAAGATAATTTTGAAGAAAGAAAATATGCGATCGCATATCTCAAATCCATTAAGAAAAAGACAATAAACGTTTCAGGGAAGACAGATAGTTTTGAAGAATTGTTCCTTCTGTAGGATAAATTGGTTCTCTTATCTTCTGAAATACTTGATAGGAACATAAAAATGGGAGCCGGTTCTGACAAGGTCTTGAAACATTTCCAGTTTAACTGCAGTCTCAAGTATGTGTTCACATGCCAGCTGTGAGCTTTAGCACAGAGGTAGACCAGCAGAGACGCTGTGAGATAACCATCTACCTGTCCTGTACTACACACTCTGAGAAACAAGCGACCTGTCTCCATCTACAACACATGTACAGATCAAAGCTTTTTGGAGCCATTTCAGGGCAATATTAATTTTGCTGCCAAATTTCTACCCTATTCCAATGGAGATAATGAGTGTTTCCCAAATTTTGTTTAAATTTCCCAAATTAAGGAAAAAACGCCCCCCTTTTTTAAAGTTTTACAGATCTAGAGGATAGTTATACAAAGCTAAATTTAGGAAAATCCCCAATATCTATGTTAGTCCCCTTTTAGGGGTTAATCAAGCCTGTTTGGGAATATGCCCAGTACCTATTTAATATTTCTTTTAGGGGCTATGCCCATTGGGCTTTATAAATTTAGCAATAAATCTTTCCCATTTTAGCCCATTTGGAAACTTCAATTTATGCAAGTCAGTTCGGCAAAATAAATTTATGAATAACCCCAGTACCAATTTTTCAAAGGTAAAAAGATCCAGCCATCATCTCATTCCCGTAGAAGAACTTTTTTGCAGAGTAGTTGTCCTTGAAGAAAACAATAGTATTACAATCCTCACTGTACAAGGCATTAGCGCAATAAAGACATTGCCACAGTTTTTGTTTGTTTCACTGTGAAATGATTCCACACAATGGCTGAGGTCATAACTTTATGAAGATGATAGGGGACAACTTCATGGAAACTTTATGAAGCTTAATTTCACTGAAATAACAAAACCTGGCATAGCGTAACACTTCTCTATTATCATAAAGCAAACAGTAGGACTGCTGGCATTCACATCACTAACAGAGGAACCTGGATATTTTAAACTCAAACAAGACATATTTTGATCCAAATCTACACAACTCAAACATTCTATCGAACTTAACCTTTCATCACTGTAGACCATAATGGACTCATCCAGATCAATGCATGGAAGAGTTTACTAAAGTTACATAGGGGTGGAAGGGTTAAATGTTTTTTCTAGACCAGAAATGATTCAGTTAAGTCTAAAGGTTTTTTTTCAAATATCTAAAATGTACCATAGAGTTCTCCTTGATTTGTATAATTCTATGGTGTAGAATTCCACTAGTCAGATGCCTCAGATAAGTAGATTTCATATTTGGACTAGTGAAAATTTTAAAATAAACAATGAAAATATTAATCTAGCAAGCAAAATTCTCAAAAACCAGCCTGTGCGCTAGTACCCAAAAAATGAAATTGTGCATCCCTGTAATTTAGCTCTATAAAATAGTTTTCCCTGTACCATCTCCCTGGAGTGGCAATCCAGTATATCAGTCTGTAGATTGCTTTTACACATAACACACAGTAAAAATGCAATAACAAGTTAATAGATGCATTTTCTTTAAAACAACCCTTCGGCTACACTATCTTTAAATTATACCGAGCTTCTACTGTTACCGCTCAATTTCACCTCAGAGAATAACAACTATTATTTCAATATTTACATCTCTGCACGGCCGCTTGTCAACACTACCTATCTAGGGTATCAACAGTTATCTACTGCAGCAGAATATTTGATGGAAGCACATGTAAAGTTTTGCATGTGTATCGTGCACCAGTTGTTAGTCTGGATACACAAAGCTTGGTCAGCTTAATATCACATTCTTGATTTAACTCATTCACCCCTGAAATTTCATAATGGACTATTCCAACCATTGAATTGGAAGAGTTCAAATGTGTTTTCAGGGGTGAATGTGTAAAATATGTAAGTTTTTGGTAAAATTTGCCTGTCCCAGACTTAATGGACAAAGTGCTGATAAAGTGAAAGTTCAGATTTCACATAATCACTTAAAGTGAAAAACATAAGTATGATAATAGGTTGACCAAAATCTAAAGATTTTTCACTGTTTAAAAATTCAATATTTTTGGATACTTCATTTCTCAATGACAGTGGAAACAACAGTTCTTTGTTTTGCTTAATAGATTACTGCACATGAATCTTGGTGAGTTTGCAAGAGTCATTCCTGGCCACATAATTAAATATCATATATATGAAATTATGAAGTATTAATAAACAATGCTTGGGGATTGACCCTTATTTCACCTGATTCCTCCATACATATGAAGATTTTCAAAGAAGAAATTGTTGCCTGCCTCCACTAGTACTGGTAGCCATGTTGATTTCCACGTAAAATTTGAATTTGAGTTGTGATTTGACATAATAGACATGTGTAGAAAGTTTCATAAAAATTGAGTTATTGCACAGAAACCATGCAACTTTTACAAAATCCAAGATTGCTCCTGGCAGCCATGTTGATGTTCAGATATGGTTCAAAATCGAATTTGAATGGGTAACTGATACTGTATATGTGGAAAGTTTTATAGAAAACAAAACATCATCGCACAAAAACCATTTGTCGAAGAAGTGATCTCTTTGTTATCTTTTGATTCCCAGGCACCACAAAAACAAGACAATACAGTGTTTACTACATGAACTTGAGCCCTGAGCCAACATATTCTACGCCATCAAGTTCCAACTGAAGTGTGATCAATTATGGCGACCATATCAAATATTAACATTTCCAGAGGAACTGTAGGTATAAATCCAACCAAACACTGAGCAAAGCATTAAAAGATTTGTATGTATGGAGGATATATATTTAGTCTTTCTTCGGTGAAAAGTGAACGCTTTTTATGGAAGATTCCCTTCTCTGTACACATATGTTGTTTGTTTGTCTTGCGTCAAGTGATAATTTCCGAGACCACCCCTTCCCACCCTTCATGGGTCGACTGCCAAACATCTGATAAGCAGAGAATGCAGAGCTAAACAACTTTCTAAACTTAGCATCAGCATTTTAACAGCATTTAAAGTCATGGAATCAAACTTGATCAGTTTTTTCTCTCTGGTTTCCTGTCATTACCTATATGTTGCTGTTCAAGCCATGGCAGTGTATACAAAAGTCGACAGGCTGTCAGCATCGATCAGCGTCGACCCATTTAGTCCAGCATGCGATATAATCTGCATGTTAGTTACATGGACTCGTAATTGCCATAACCATGAAGACAACTAGTCTCCTGCCTTACTTTATTTATATGCATTATTAGTTAGTGATCACTGATAAACTATTTCTCTCATAAATTTATTTTTGGTTTAATTCAGTTTTAACATTTTTACCAATATGTATTACATATTCAGACCTGCACTTACCAAACAAGATTGGCAGGACAGAAATTTGTACCATGTACCATGGGCAGCTTCTATGGTTTATGAAACTCTATTTGTGTTTGTTCTTCCCTTCTGTATATAAAATTATAACCTTCCCCATACAAACTCCTTGTTCTGTCACACACAATCAATTGATATAATGAGTAATTTAATTATGGGAATCATTTTTAACCAATTCTTTTTTTCCCTGGAACAGACAGAACTTCTTACTTTATTTAACTCTATGTGATAAACCTGCTAGACCTTTTTCTTAGAAAGGGGACAAGACAAGACAAATTTTGTCTTTTCGTATTGCAGAGTTATCTGCTCTTGTGAGCAGGTATTGATTGTTACGTCATTTGTTTGTGAGAGTAACGTCATCAATTTTTGAGAAAACAACGTAATTTTCTCACACAAACTAATGATGTAACAATCAATACCTGCTCACAAGAGCAGATAACTCTACAATACGAAAAGACGGAATACTGTTTACCGGGAAATTTTCTCCCAGTCTAACTTTCGCCCGTTGTCATTAAAATCCATATTCGCTCAGTGTTGATTTTGCCTTCACATTTATAATGTTGTTTATTACTGTTCGCTGTAATGTGAAATTGGTCCTCATTAATTTATGGAGGACTTGAAAATTTTAACTGCATCGAAGATCCCCTAGTTTACAGTATTGGGTTTATATCCCTATTCAAATATGTTAAACAATAAATAAGGGCAGAGTTATCACAGGTATATCATTTAAATCAAATGGAAGTAGGTGATAGTATGGCTCCAGTTGACACCACTTACCCATGTAGTGGATCCAGCGCTATTGCCCTGGGCTGGTCCAAATCTTGCCAATGAAGAACCTTTCGGTGTCCCCCGTCTAGGTTACTAACTTCAATTCGCTTTGTTTCAGAATCCGCCCAGTAAAGCTTTTTGCTCAGCCAATCGCATGCCAACCCATCGGGGGAGACCAGCCCTGACGAGATGACATTCACGCTTGTACGAGATCCATCGATCCATGTCCGTTTGATCAGTTCGAGGCTCACGTCTGTCCAGAAGACTGAATTCTCTGCGAAGTAGAAGTCCAGAGCGGCCGCATCCTCTAGCCCATCAACAAGGATGGTCGTATTTCCGCGGCCGTTCTGAACCTGTACCAGCTGGACATCCTTACGATTCGCAAATATGAGGTATGGATCGCCTGCAAATATAATTTAAGGTAGAGTAAATATGAGACATTGTAAATGATACCTTAACTCTTTTTTTTTAAACAGGTTGCAAAAACAGTAAACACAAGCTTGCTCTAATCATTGAGGATAAACATGAAAGCAATTATTGAGCAGAAAGAAACCTCGTGTTATGGACTAAATTCTCCTTGTATGGCCTCTCATCGTGTCATGGACTAAATTCTCCTTGTATGGCCTCTCATGATATTACATCACATTCTACATTTGCATATTAGGATGATTTAGAGGTTCCGAAAATTTTACAAGACTTAACTTTAGTCCCTATTGATAATGCATTTGTGCTAAATTTGAAGCGTACAATATTTATAAACGTAGCTTAAAAGAAGCTAGATGTCTCCAAAGCTTGGCCTACAAAACAAGGAAGGATATGAAGGCAACATGTCCGTAATAAACAGATCTAAATTCACAAATTAAAAAAAATTGCGGTAGTTTTTTTTGCGTTTTGTGAAAGAAACATGACTTTGTGTTTAAGTTACGATTTTGAATTTATGGTACTGTGCACGTGGTTAGGTTTTAAACAGAAAATGTTCACTCCTGTTGTAGAAATATATATATATATATATATACAGCTGTATGCAGCAGATAAATGTATAACAAACATAACAAGAAAATAAACTTCATCTTTTCTAGTCAACAAACATGTTTAATAATTACAAAAGGAAGGAAAATGCTTTTCTATGGGTGGCTACCATGATTTTGAATGACATGAATCTGAAGCTAGGTATAAAATCATTACACACACATATGTACAAACAGTCTCAAACTAATGTAGGCTGTACTGTATTGAACAAGAACTTTATTTTACCTTACCTAGTAAATTTGTACCAGTGATTTTTGAAGAGCAAAACTTAAATATTGACATGGTCTCAACAGATTGCAAAAAGGAAAATATTATTGACAAATTAATAAATGTCAGGTAAAAATTGTATTTGGAATAATAGACTATTAAAACATGTATGTACATGTATACACTGTCAACAACTTACGGCAAGGCTATACAAATAAGCCAGAGTTCTCTTTAAAATAATAATATTATTAAATACCACCGAAAAATATCAGAGAAAGTACATAAAATGTCAAACGTACTTTCAAAACTATTTGCATATGTTAAGTCTTTGGGAGTATTCACAATGTTACTGAGTAAAAAAGAACGAAATATTAATGTTCAAGTAAAACATTTCTGAAACAAATTGAAATTTCTCCATGTGCCTCTTACAAAACTTTTTCTGTATTAATTGTTAGAGTTCAATACTTCCCACAACAACTTATAAATCTGATATCTGATTTGAAAATTTTCATTCACCAGACGATTTTCCACCTGAAATATTTGGTCAAAGATTTAACACTGGATTAAAACCTTAAAACAATCTCTCACTTTTCTTGCCATGTTTATTTTTAAAAAATCCATTAATAAAAACAGCAAAACAATGTAAATTCAAACAAGCATACCCTTGTGTAGATTAACAATGATAAGAAACACTCTACCCTAGCCATGCACAAATGTGTTTTCAGGAATACATAACATGAAATTACGATCTATTAACGTGTATATAGTAGACTGTGATTGCTTCTGAAAGCACGCAGAAAAATCTCTTTCACCAAATTTACTCAAAAATGCAGAAAATTGCATTAGATTTGTTAAAAGAAATTTAATTCTGATAAATCAGTCATCACAAAAATTGAATGAAAACTAGGGTAACTTTGAAGTCTTTATGGATCAGGGGTGTCGCGGCGTCCGGGGCCAGTAAGGCACTCTGGGCTTTACAATGAGGTATTTACCGACAATACAATAGCTGTACAACTACCTTCACCTCTAAGGTGCCAGGTATACCCACAGGTAGTGCTGGTGACACCTGTCATACACAGCTAATGACACCTGACTACAGTATTCATTCTGAAGCGAGCTCTCCTTTTAAATCAGGAATTATGTCGCATTTCACCTACTTTTTGTAATAAGAACATTTACACCGATGGTGAATTTCGTCACCCCAGCACTAATCAGTTATATACTTATCTAATTCTACGGCCGATGCCCTGCTAAAACAGGTCTGTCGATGGTCAAGTGCCCTTTTCAGAGTAATTACAACTCTGTAGAAGTATGCCAGCCAAGATTTGACACCCATGAAATGTTTGATAAATAAGAGTCTACTAAATATAGACTGGGTTAACATACATGACTGTGATAAGTATACTGCGACAACAAATACACCTGAGTTTCAGGGCCCAATCTGTCAGCATTACCTGGCAGGGCTGGGACAGAGGCAGATCCATTAATTACATGTCAGCAGGAACCAGTCGGGGTAACCCAGGTACACTCTACCTGTCAACTGCTGCACTTATTACTACTCCTACCACGTCAGAGTTGTAAACGACACTTTCAATTTGTCAATTATCATGTATTATTAGGCAACAGACAACACAAATGTTTCATTTGCCAATAGACCATACATGTGCATTAGTCCAGAACTTATTTCCAAAATCCTCTCCAACAGTGCAAGTCATTAACTTTCTGTCATTGGTGGAATATAAAATTCTTCATAAGAAAATACTGGAAAAATAATTAAGATCAATATTTTTTTCTTACATTTTCTAATCATCAATTTACCTTATGCAAGCACAATTAATGAATATTTCATAAATTCTACCCACGATTAAATATGTAAAATAGCCATACCAGTATTTTGTCTGTCACAACCAAGGTCATCTAAGCACACACAACATGTATCTTTAAAATAGCGGATTACTACCAAATATTACATTTAATCAAAGGGCAATTAAAGTCATACAAGCACATTACCTGTCAACTCGCTGACTACCAAGCACATCCTACCTGTAAACTTACTGACTACCAAATAACACATACAGTTAAGGTCATCTAAGCACACCCTACCTATCAACTCACTGACTACCAAATATCACATACAGTTAAGGTCATCTAAGCACACCCTACCTATCAACTTGATGATTACCAAATATCACATACAGTCAAGGTCATCTAAGCACACCTAACCTGTAAACTTACTGATTACCAAATATCACATACAGTTAAGGTCATCTAAGCACACCTAACCTGTAAACTCACTGACTACCAAATATCACACACAGTTAAGGTCATCTAAGCACACCCTACCTGTCAACTCACTGACTACCAAATATCACACTCAGTTAAGGTCATCTAAGCACACGCTACCTGTCAACTCACTGACACCAAATATCACATACAGTTAAGGTCATCTAAGCACACCCTACCTGTAAACCCACTGACTACCTAATATCACATACAGTTAAGGTCATCTAAGCACACCCTACCTGTAACCTCGCTGATTACCAAATATCACATACAGTTAAGGTCATCTAAGCACACGCTACCTGTCAACTCACTGACACCAAATATCACATACAGTTAAGGTCATCTAAGCACACCCTTCCTGTCAACTCACTGACTACCAAATATCACACACAATTAAGGTCATCTAAGCACACCCTTCCTGTCAACTCACCGACTACCAAATATCACATATAGTTAAGGTCATCTAAGCACACCCTACTTGTCAACTTACTGACTACCAAATATCACATACAATTAAGGTCATCTAAGCACACCCTACCTGTAAACTCACTGACTACCAAATATCACATACAGTTAGGGTCATCTAAGCACACCCTACCTGTCAACTTGCTGATTACCAAATATCACATACAGTTAAGGTCATCTAAGCACCCCCTACCTGTCAACTCACTGACACCAAATATCACATACAGTTAAGGTCATCTAAGCACACCCTACCTGTCAACTCACTGACACCAAATATCACATACAGTTAAGGTCATCTAAGCACACCCTTCCTGTCAACTCCCAGACTACCAAATATCACATATAGTTAAGGTCATCTGAGCACACCCTTCCTGTCAACTCACTGACTACCAAATATCACACACAATTAAGGTCATCTAAGCACACCCTTCCTGTCAACTCACCGACTACCAAATATCACATATAGTTAAGGTCATCTAAGCACACCCTACTTATCAACTTACTGATTACCAAATATCACATACAGTTAAGGTCATCTAAGCACACCCTCCCTGTCAACTCACTGACTACCAAATATCACATACAATTAAGTTCATCTAAGCACACCCTACCTGTCAACTCACTGACACCAAATATCACATACAGTTAAGGTCATCTAAGCACACCCTTCCTGTCAACTCACTGACTACCAAATATCACATACAATTAAGGTCATCTAAGCACACCCTACCTGTCAACTCACCGACTACCAAGCACACCCTACCTGTCAACTTGCTGACTACCAAATATCACACACAGTTAAGGTCATCTAAGCACACCCTAGCTACCTGTAAACTCACTGACTACCAAATATCACATACAATCAAAGTCATTCAAGTGCATCCAGTCAATTCACTGAGGTTGGGGTTCTTTGGGTTCATTAAAAGCATATATGATATACACACATGTATATATTAAGCATAGATTATTCCATCAAAGAATGATTTTTAAATTATTACAATTTCATCCTGTCCCTGTACAATGTAAAAGGATTTATAATGAATTATTTAACCCTTTTGAATATTTTTTGTTTTATTGGCAACAAATCAAAACTTTGCAAAGGAAAAAAGCTAAAAATAAGAGATTTAATATATGTATATATACCTATTTCAGCTAACATAGACCAAATGTAACAAAACTGTCTTTTCCCTTCAACATGTGTTGTGGGATTTTTTTCAAACTTTAATGTTCATTGTATGATTTACTGATTAATACAATATGTTTTTCTGATTACTTTTTAAACTTCAAATCAATAAAATTGAGTAAAACAGGATATAAAGTTGTGAAATCTAACGTCTCCGCCAGAAACACCTGCAGGATTACCTGCGAGATGGTGATTAGTATAGCTGTGTATCCCCGACCCTTGACCCCAGGGCTACT